TTTGAAATAAAGACATTAACCCATATACATAACATTTATATAAGGAAAGGAAGCCACTTTAATTTATAAAAGATTTTTATTAATTCTTTAAAGACATTTCATTCGAAATAAATAGAATTTATTATTTATCCAAGTGCAGTTTTTTCAGGAGAGAGTTCAACGGAGTTCAGTAGGCAACGAATGAAATGAAGATGCCACCGCAACGAGGAGACTCTGCGATTGGGCCCTCGTAGCATTTCATAATTTTCAGCCAATTATGCGAAATTGCCAGCGAAAACAAACAGACCTTGGGCCGAGTTAATGACATTGAATGGGGTCAGGTCCCAAGAACCACAAAAAGCCGCAAAAAGCTGAAACGACGGGTCTGAATCAGGGGAAAGATTGCTGACAGCAATCAACAGTTGTGGACTTGTGGACTTGGGAACGCTGCCGCAAGTGAGTGTCACTCTGCCTCGTCCCAAACCCACCTCATTTTCCCCCTTTGACAGTCAGCAGTTTATATGTTGCAAACGATCAGGTATTCAAATCCGACTACATAAAGACACTGCTATGATTAAGTAATATAATCAAATGGAAAAGTGTGGATACAAAAAAAATCTAATAAGCAATAGATTGTGAGTCTAAATAATCAAATGGAAAAGTATTTATTTATATTTATATTTAATGTAACATGTATTCAAAGTGGAACATTATAATAATGTATTTGTTTAAATAACTATAATATTTCCTGTAAATACAATAATTTACGTGAATGCCTTTAGTTTTCAGCTTCACAAATCCGCTATTGAAATTACATTGTGTGATCCACTTACCTTTTATCTCGACATTCACCATCTTTCACCTACTTTTCCTCCGTTGATCGCAGATTGCAGCTAATTCGTCTGCTCACTTCTTATCGCATTAATTGGCCACTGGTCGATTTATATATTGGATATACCCGCCGCGGGTTAGTGATCGCGATCACAGCCTCTCCCAATCCCAATCCCAATCCCGATCTCAACCCCGATCCCAACCCCAATCTCTCCCAACACGTGCACATCAAACTCTACGCTTTATAATTGGTTTGTCGAGCTGCCAGCAACCGGCTAAGTCTTAGTCTTAGCCTCGGATTCAGTCTGCAAAGCCCCAGCTCAAGCTCACATGTCTGAGTTAAGGCCGAAGAAAAGAAAAGCCAGGCCGAAGACAGGCACTGGGGAAAAATGTTGTATTTTAAGTTTATTATATGCTCATCGTATTTGACTTTACCTAAAACATATGTTTAATATCGGCATCGTAGGATCAGATTTAGCAATTGATTTTATAGTCAGAACATTGGAGTTATGGAAAAATAAACTAAATGAACATATTAAAAATAAATTAAAGGGATTATTAATATTTTTTAGCTTTTAAAGACAGTATATTTAGGATATTTTAGGTATGAAATCAAAAGGAATATTAAATATATTTTACCAGATATAATTTACTAGATATATTCTGTTCAAAGCAAAAATCAACTAATCTCTCTGTACCGATTGGAATATTTATTAAGCTAAAAAACAAAATTGGTAAGTAAAACTTAATTTAAAAAAAGCAATTGTCCGGACTTCTAAAGGTGTTTTATACAAATTTCTTTAATTTTTCGCCGGTGTTTTCAAAACCAACGTCAGTCGATGCTAAGTGAATTAAAATAATGCTGCTGCTGTTGGCTTTCGCCGATGATGATGATGTTGTTGGTGATGCTGATGAGGCCGGGCTCCGTCCCAGGAACTCCCCTTCGGATCCGCCAGCCTCGCTGATGATTCTATTTATTACACGGCAGGCAATTTGCAATTTTCCGCTGCGTTTTAATTATTTGCCATGCCCGTTAGTTTTAATAAAGTTGCTAACTGTGAAAAGACGTGACTGGCGAATGGGCATTTAATTCGCACTCGCAGCACACAGCGAAAGTGTGAGTCTAGCTGGTTCTTCCTCTGTTCCATCCATATTCAGTACCCACTATACACTATGCACTATCCACTATCCACCATCCACCATCCAGACTCCGGTCCAGACACCTGATTAAAATCTCGGCGTGTCCGGCAGAATTTCGCAGAAAATTCTTACACGCAAACGGTGGACAGCTGAAAAGTTGCAGCGTTAACACCCATTGCCTCGAAAAGTCCCCAGATCGTGGGGCATTTCGTGCGAAATTTTATCACGCAAGGCATTCGAGATGATAAGCATCTGCGGAGCCGGGAACCCTGCGAATGGGCCTCCGATTCCGAATCCGCGATCTTGGCAAGGAGATTGCGATCGACCCGAACTGATAGGAAACCAAAGCGCGATCCAAATGCACGCCCCACAACAAAGGATCAGTGATGTTATAGATATTAAAGGGGAGATTAATGTTTTGGAGGTAATTTATTTTCAATTATAATTTGGGATACCTAAACTAAAAAATTAAAAAAAAATATTCTCAATACAATGTGGGAAATTTTCATTCATGAACAACGTTTAGTTTTTACTTTTAAGGTTCAATGCCTTATACTTTGTCATTCAGAAGATATTGAATTAAATAAATATGTATTAATAATGTGTAATATCAACATCAGAAAGTTTGCAATAAATAAATAGTATATAAATATTTAATAATGAAATTACAATAAACGAAAATACTTAGGGGCATTGGTCCTGAAAAGTAAAAAAATAAAAAATTCTTATCATTTCAAATGAATTGGTCCAGAAAAGTAACAAATGAACAATATTCCTATCATTTCAAATGAATTATCTTTAAGTGCCAACTAAAATAAGTTATCCATATATCGACGGATAAGTAGCCAAACTGGCAACACTCAGAAAATCCGCAGCCTGGGGACGCCTTTGTCTTATCTCCAGCTGGGCATCTGCTCATCTCGCCCCATTCCACTCTGCTCAAGATCCCCATGTCCCCACTTCGCCCAGAAATCCCAGAAATGGCAACTGCTCCAAGGCGCCGCAGAAAGGGGCGTGGCAGGTGTTGCAGGGCTGGTTGTTTTCCGTTTTTTTTGTATTTTGGTCCGGGGGTGCCAAGTGTTTGCGCCAAGCGTTGATTGTCCTTATCGGAGACACAGATCGTTGGGCCAGTGGAACCAGAAAAGGCGGCGCGAGTTGCATGCGTAGATGTTGCCTAGAGATCTGAGATTGCACTTGCGTGCCAGTCGGGCAAAAAGCAGCCAAGGAAAAAAAGAGTAAAACCGAGAAAAACCAGTGCCAAGTGATGAATGTCCGTGTTATGCGATCTAATGATCTAGAAATGAAGTTAATAAATCGTTTAACCAGATGGCACCGCTCTGTTCGAGATCGGAAAAGAGGCTGCTTAGATGCTTCTGTGGATTCATCAAGACCCAGACATCAGAAGATCAGAGATGTCGGAATCTGAAAATGTAAATTTTCTGCTAAAAATAATTGGTTTTATTTTCTAAATGTCTGCATTCAGATTTTAAACTATAATTTTGGCTAGATATTTGCACTGCAATCATTAACTCCTCCGAAAACTGACTGAAGAAAGGAGATACTAAACTGCAAGTATTGGCTTATAAACATGACAGATTGATAGCCAAATTCGAAGTGGTAGACATGTTTATGTTAACTATTTCTGTTTTCGATGGCTTAAAAGGAGGGTGACCCAAAATTGTAATTTTAGAGTCCGTAATTTGATTCTCCAATAAACTCTGCGTTAAAATGCTGGTCAACATATTTATTGTTTTTTACATAAGTGGTTGCAGTAAGATTTACACTTTCGAAATAGAAAAAATCCCTTTAAGACACCGTATAATAAATGGCTAAATATCTCTAGTTAAAGTCTGATTTAGCTACGAAAAAGCCTACCGACCAACTCTGCCGCACTTGCCCCGTTTGGCAAGTGATCGACCACCGGGCCGAGCGACAATTTGCATAACTACTGTGCTTATGCCGCAAACATAACAAATTACAACGATTTTGCGTACATGCCGGGCGGATGGAAAACGAGGCGTTTAGCAAATATCTGCCTGTCCCATAACGGGACTCTCCAGAGCCGGGAAAATGAAGAGCAGTGCAAACAAGGCCGAGATATAATACACAAGACACATGATAATGGCCATAATAAGGCCGCAACAAGACAGGCCAACATCAACTGGAATTATGCAGTCTCGTCTCCGCAAACCCGACAACAAATCACCGCACATTCCTTGGTTCGTATTCTCATTTACTTTTTATTTAGAAATTGCTTAGTCTAAAGATGATTATATTACGATTGTGCGAATTGTGGAATTCGCACCGTGACTTATGCTAATATAAATAGGCGGCAGTCGAATAGTGGTTGATTGGTGATTTAATGTGCAATTAGTATAGATGTACTAACTGTAAAAGAAAACATTTTAAATTAGTTTTACTTTAAATCGGTTTATTTAATATGAAACTTACCCAATGAATGATTTAATTAAAATTAAACGCCACATACCCCAACGAAAGAAGATCTGAAATTGAACAAAGATTACAGATTAGTTGAAGTTTTAAATATTTTTAAACAAGCTTAAAAGTTGTTTATAAGCTCAGATACAAATTTACAATCAAATCATTTCATTAGTCTAACATATGTAAAGTAACATCATTGAGTTTTATTAACAAAAAACCGAATTAAATGTATTTATTTTTCTTTTTCTTACCTTCAGAGCAGCGTTTGATGGTTTTGTCAGCTTAACTATAAAGAAAACAGAACGAAAAAATATTAATAACATTTCACTTACTTTTTAAATTTTATGTTTGTAGTTTTAGATCAGTTAAATATAACTTTACACTAATCAAGATTTTTCATAGGTGTCCCAAGGTAAAATCGTAGATCATCATTTAAGTTTTTAATTTTGCAACTCAACTAATTTTATTTCAAATCTTAACTCACCTAATCCGAAAAGGATAGTTCCCATTGATCTTTTGAGTTTTCTTCTCATGGAATCTGAAATATGTAAAAATATTAAATTAGTTATAGTTTTCAAATATGTGAATAAAACAATAATTTCAAATTCATTATCAGTTATTCAAGTTTACACTAATCAAGGCATTTCATAGGTGTCCCAAGGTAAAATAGCTATGTCATCATAGAAACCCAACTGATAATTACATATATTCCCAATCCCAACTCACCTTAGAAGGCATATCGCGTGCGTATGTCCTCCAGCTTCTTGCAGATCTGATTTGGAGTGCGGAACATGTCTCCAGCGATACTCTTTTGTTTGGCTGCCTCAATGGACAGATACTGCTCGCAAAGATCGCCATCCAGGACGTTTTTCACTGGATAATACGAGCTCCTGTAGCTGAGATGATCCCGTCCGCAGAGAGGCGGATTCTCATTGCGCATATGCATCTCCAAGTGCTGGAAGAAGTCGTAGTCCTCGCGGCTGGTAAACGGAACAAAGGCGCCCACGGTGCCGCTTAATGTGGCATATATAAGGGCCTCCGATCCGCCGGGAATTAGAGTAGCTTTCTGCAGCGACATGATTATCTCGCCCACATGAAAGGAGCAAATGTTCTCCGACTTTTGCGATGCACCGGACAACAAGCCACGATCCCAAAGCGATTTAGTGCCAGTGGGATCCTCGTCCACATCATCGGTCACCGAGTGGGGCAGTCGCTGAATGCTCAGGTTGCCGAACTTATCAGCAATGGCTATGGTATCGTAATCCAGCAGAGTAGTGGCCGTAACCCAGCGCGGATGCGTGTCATCGGCGAATATAATCAACTGATTCTCCGCGCGACGATAGCGTAAGAAAAACACTGATTCCTGAACATCCGACACGTAAACACGATGACCCATCGCTTGTATATTGACAATCTGGTACGGAATGTGTTTGTTCTCGCACTTGCGCAGCATTTTCTTCTTGCCAAAGTCATAAATCCTCAGCATTCGTCCGCAGCCTGCCAGCAGTCGACCCTGGAAGCCACAAAGTGCCCCAGGAATCTCCTCAATCTCTGTGCGATGCATAAACTCCAGACTCGAGCAGGTGGGATCTATCTTGTAGATGTCTATGCAGCCGCCTTGGGAAATCCTCGGATTCAGCTGCAGATCCTTGGCGATTCCCACGGCCAGGTAATACCGACCATCGGCTGCTATGGAGAACTTCAGCATTGCCATCGACATAATGGCCTCGTTCTGGGTGAGCGGCACATTAAACATGGTCTGACCATGCATGGCATCCAGGCATCGGATTTGCGAGGCCCAAAGACCCAATCCCGCTTTGGGGGACGAGAAAACATCCTCGGGCAGGACTTCGTTGATAAAAGCATTGGCCATTTCACGAGCCAACTCGCGTTCCTCATCTCCCGCTGCACTGCGCATCTCCTCCGCCATTTGCTCCTTACGGGCACTCTTCGTATCCTCTGTATAAGCATTGTGATCTGTTTCAGCAATCAGCATGCGACCCGTATCCGGGTGGATTACGAAGGTTCGTGGAGTATACTGCAGGGGGAATGCCACTTGGTTGAAGACCGCTCCCAGTTTTTCCAGAGCCAAGATTCTCAAGGTATTGGTGGATATAGCCACAATACCTTCGCTGCACTGCTCGCTCGAGAAACCAGAAGCGTACTCTAGGGTTTCGTATGACAGAGGCGTCAAATGGAATCGGTTTTGATGGTAGTACGACAACCAGGTTCTACTGGACATGGCCAGCACTGCTTCGGCTCCCTGCATCTTAATTCGGAAGAGCTTTACTGGACGAGAGCCCAAGTACCGGGTCCTGGTATCAGCCAAATCTCCGGAAACTGGATCAAGCACAGTTCTCAGCAGGACTCCGTTGCTCAAGCCTATGTTAAGGTAAATGGTACCCTTGTTGTTGCCACTGCGCTGAGCGGGAGCATCTTCATCCACAGCTCCTTGGGTCGTACTCTCCGTATGACCCATTTCCACCAAGCAGAGGGATTCCGCTGGCGAAGGTAACGCTTGCATGGAGCAAGGAGTCAGGCAGTTGTTGGGGTCCAGCGACAGGATACGCACGGTATTATCGGCCAGACCAACGGCCAAGAACCACGATCGCTGCTCCCCATCTGGAACAGTTCCCAAAGCCATGCACATGATCTCTGCAGGCATTTCAGAGCGTTCGGTATACTCATTCAGTTCTCCAGTCTGCAAGGACGAAGATAATCCAATTAGTTCGATGCTTAGATAGAGGATAATGCTCTTTTATGAGTTAAAAGCTCAGCACTGCAGGACACATAGTGTCTCAACATGATTGTTCTTTTCGTGTTTTTGTCATCAGAGCAAAATACAATTGGTGGGTTTAGTTCAGAATGCTTACCGGATCCATTTCGAAGTAGACCAACTCCCTTCCCGACAAGGTGATGACCACCTGGCGCTGATTCACGGCACACTTGGTAATCGACTTTTTACCCGGGGCCTTCCACTCGTTCACACGTTTATCGGATCGGATATGACGAATACCGTCGGGATAAACCTGAACCAAGGCATCGTCGCCCAGGGCGGCACAACAAAGTGTGGGCGTGGTGCCCAGGAAACCACTGTCCGTTACTTCCTCTACGGTTTCGCCAATACTCAAAACCAGAGTGGCATTCACGAAGGATACGATGATATAGGCATCAAACTCGTCTAAAAGTAGGGGAACAAAATAAAACTTAAATCGTGAGAATAGAGTAAATATATAACCATTAAAAAAGTTTTGCCTATTTTTGGAGACATTGAATAATCAGTTTATCAAGTTGTAATCAATGGATAATTCAGCTGAAACACGGTTGATAAATATCGCATCATGTTCAATGTCCGACTGGCTTAAATATATTTTGTATTTTCCGTTTTATTTTTTTTTTAGGTTGTAGTAGTTGTAGTATCTGTTTGACTTATGAGCTGCATGAAATGTTGCCTTACCTATCGCTTCACAAAAGACAATTTAAATTTACACAAACGAGAGAAAATTCTCTATAATCGCTTGTCTTTTTCGATAGTTCACACATGACGTCTGTGTTTAAGCGCCTGAAATAAGAGAGAACTGGTGGTTGATAACTTGTGGGACTTGTTTGGAATCGTGTGTAAAGCTAGGTGTAATCTATATCTCGATCTGTATCAATGCACCAGTTGAGTTATTAGCCACGTTTCAATCTTAGTCTAATCTTAGCTTAGAAATCATGAATTTCGAGTAGCATTCGACTCACCATCAGCTCGTTTTTTCACAGTCCAAACCGCATTGGGATTACCGGGCAACTCGGAAACGGCCATCTCGGATACCTCCAAGCCATGGCGGAGAACTCGCAGAGTGGAGCGAGGTCCTCGTCCACAGAGGACGTACAACTGCGGCGTATCCTCGTTGGCAAGATCGGCCACCTGAGAGGTGATTATCGGGGCAAACGAGGGTAGCTCGTCTACCAAAACCAGGTTCTTCAGGGCTCGTGGCGCAAAGAAGAAGGTTTCACCCTCCTCCAAAGGCATGGCCGAGCTGAACTCCGGCTCATCATCGTCATCACCCAAGTGAGCAATTTGGTAAAGGTAGCTAAAAGTTAAAGAAATGCAATAATTAGTAATGGTTCTATAAATCACGAATGTAAGTAGAAAAGCAAAAGGCTTGTTTCTAAACCAATGTATTCCCAGACTAGACACTTACTGGTTGCCAAACTCGCTCGCCACGAAGAGAAAACCAGTCTTCAGCACACACATGGCAGTTGCTGGAGGAACTGTATCAAAGTACTTCAGCTTGATCTCGGACACCACATCATCGTCCGTTTCCAACGTGATCTTGAAGATGTCTCCCTGCTCCGTTTGCAGCAAAAAGAAGTACATGCTCTTGGTGCGATGTGTGGCGGAGCAGATGAAGATCATGCCCCTTTCGGGATCATCCAGATCGTTTCTCCTGCGTGGAATGGGACAGCGAATGTCGTGCTGATCGCCGAGATTCTTGTAGGTCAGATAGTTCTCCGAGCAGATGAGCACGCCCGAGGGGCCGTCGTTGCCTCCAGGCACGGAAACCAAAAAGTTGGCGTGCTCTTCCAAGGGTTCCGAGTATTTGCGAACCACGTGGTTCAAGCCTAGGTCCAACTCGTAAAAGGTTAGCGTTTGCTGAGTGCGCTGGGCGGCGTCACCTGGAATAAAGAGATGGGATGTTGTTTAGTTATGGATTACAATATTTAAGGTAAGTAAGAAAAACATACTATAAAAATACAAATTTAGATAATTTTAATAGTTTTTTAACATTAATATCATAATTAAAGAAACGAGATTTTAAAATAAAATTTGACTTTAAAAGTTTGTGGTGTGGGTCACAAATCAGTGAAGTGTGGCTAGGTATTTACAGCAACACCAATGGTTCAGTGATCGCAATTTATCTGGCACTTAAGTACAGACAGTGTTCGTGGTTGAATCCACTAAACCTGTGAATTAAAGCGCCTTCTAGGTGATAATTTAAAATAGATAATGCCCACCTGATGGATCCATGTCAGCCTCCTCGTAATCGATCTCCAGACAGGCGAACATGGGATTGTCGAAGCCCACATCCACGCCCACCATGTGATATGTCAGGGTATTCGATTTGTGGGCCTCCAAGGGCGAAGAGATCGTCAGACGAGCCTGTGTGTCTCGATTCATGATGTAGGCCAACTTCTGTTTCTCCACGGCGCCAATCATGACGGCTCTTCCCTTGGGATCAATGGCGAAGTACTGGCCGGGCACAATCCTCCGACAGCCCGACTTGCCAAAGGTCTCCTGATGTACTTTCTCCAGAGCATTTTTGGATGGTATATACTCAAGGATCACAATGCGACCCGAATCAGAACCAGCAACGATGTAATCTGGAAATCATAAAAAATATATTTGTTAGTAAGCACGTCTTTTTAAAACATAATATTTCTGTTGGTAATTTTTGGTGTTGTAACTCGAAGTTTCAATTCGCCATTCCGTTGAGTTGGTTTATGGCAAATGCGACGCCAAGTCTTTCGGTTTTTCTCGCACTTAGACGCGTTTATAAGGTCTTACTGGGGTCAACGAATACGGTGTTGCCTCAATAGGGATTTGTGCGGCTTCAAAATTATTCTTAAATAGTCTTATAATAGTATATATTATTTGGGTGAAACTTCCAATGGAATAGATTCAAAAATAGCTACAAAACCAAGGGATCTTTTTGTCTTTGAGTAAAATTTCAGATATTACTAAAAATAGGAAGGGTGAAAATACAGTTTTCGATCTCCCACGTGTTTTTCAGAATTCTAGTTTTCTTGGGGTCCCACGTGGGATTATTAATTACCAAACAAGTTTCTATATCGAAATGTTAAAAGATTAAAGTGTATAATATATCTTTATTAACTTTTAATTTTTATCTTAAGTGGGGGTATCAGGAGTTTTATATCTCAAGATTATATAGCCTTCTTAAAGATAAGTCCAAAAATAGAACCCTACCAAATTTTATATTTAACGTTAATTAATTTATTTATTAATTAATTAATTTATTTATTTCGATCAGAAGTTTCTCCCAAGTAATATGATATTATATGATATAACATTCTGCTAAAAGCTCACCTTTAGTTCCCCCGGTAAGACGAAAGGCCATCAATGCCCGGATGCATCCAAAGATCTCCGTGGAAAGGAGCGTGTGGACCTTTCCAGTATTGGAGTCTGGACGGAGGAGCTCCAGGGATTTGCCACGTGACAGGAGAACCTCCTGCTGCTTTCCGCCGGAGAAGTTTCCATGGACCGCGTGGGTCACTCCAGTCCCCTTTTGCAGGGTCAAATTGTACAGATACATAGTGTTATACTATACTTTTTCACTTTTGTCCAAAACTAGAAGAAAAGTACAGTTGAGGTTAGGTACAGTCGCCGACAAAAACCTCTTAAATATCTTTGCTTTGAATAGATTCAAATGTACTACTTTGAAAACCATGGCCACAGTATGGGTAATTCGTGTCGCCTAACGATGCTAGTAAGCAGCATTTTGTTTTTTAGTTTAGCACGCTTCAAATGCGACCAAAGCACAGACATTTCTGATTTCTGGAGATACTTCGTGCGGAAATACCACTAAATATGGATAGAATCTGGGAATTGGGCTTACCTTCAGCCGGTTTAATGGGTGAGTTGGCACATTTCACCAGCGATGTCTTTGGATTAGAATTTTCTTAATTACTCAGACGGCTTCATTTTTAGCATCTGCTCCGTTCGCCGACAAAAAGTAAAAGAATATATATATGTGAAAATAGAGGTGTGTTAATTCATTGGCCCATCGATAGTCGATGTTTTCTGTTCTCTTGCGATAGTATCGATATAGTTAAAATAATAAGGGGGCTACCTTTTTGAACATGCCATATATATGCAAAATATGGGTGGCAAATGGTTTTAGCTTCCTGTGAATAAACACAACAAAAAATAAAAAAATGTACCATTTTAAATTTTTGTAACGTTACCGAAATCAATAATACAATCAATTTTAAAAGCCCTTGTTTTTGGCGATACTATTATACCTATGCGATGAATGCCGAATATCGATAGTTAATCTTCAATGGCTTGTTTTCTCTAGTGTTTAGTGTGCCCACCTGCAGTAAAAAAGAAAATGTAGCTACTAGTGTTGGTAATTCCCCAATGTGCTGTCATTTCTGTTTACTGAACTGAAACAGCTGACAGTTGAAAACAATTATTTCGTGATTTTTGTAAATATTACTGAAATTTTTAAATGGAAGAACAAGAGGATCAAGAGAAGCTTTATGAAGAGGCGCACAAGAAAGTGCAATTGGGGGAGGAACTTAAAAAGGCGTTAATAGATTTTGAGGACCTTCCCGGAGTCAGTAAAGTCCAGAGAAAAATTCAACAGGAGCTTAAATTTCTAAATAAGGTTGGTTTTTTCTATCATTCGTTGAACTTCCACTTAATAACTGGTTTTACTTTAAGGTGATTACCACAAAATCCGTGAAAGAACACCATATAACGAGTAGTAACTTTGTCTACTATGATTTCCTGATTAAAACTCTGCGTTTGCAACAAGGAGTGGTGGACATTAATGCCGTATTCCGCCTGGAATCAAGGGATAACCCCCTGAGGGTCGATATAGTGGCTAATAACGGTCTAAAATGGGTCAAGGTGATAGCCAGGAACTCGAAATCCGTTGAGGATGCGGCCAGGGGATGTGTGAGCATCGGAGCAAGGAGTGTTTTGGATCAGGCCGAGGATTATCTGGAGGCCAGTGAACTTAGTTTTTGCATGTTCCAGAGACCCAGGGTAGGTAACCATTCTTTCTTTATTTTTCCCCCAAAAAAACATATTTTAAAGCCTATGTATAGAGTAATTCTATAATAATAATGCAAACTCTCATAAGTGATAATTAAAATTCAATGAATTTCTCCCTTTCAGATAGTGTTTTACTTTTCCAACAAAATCGAGGACTCTCTGCATGAAGAGCTCCTGGAAATGGGCGTGCAAACAGCATCTTTGGACTCACCCGATAGTGATTTGGATCAATATGCTACCACCTCGAATGAATTGAATCTGGATGTGACCACTTTACTGGCCTATGTGAGTGCCCTGACGAACGGATCTGCCAATTGGGTCTACAAGGAACCCCTTCTCACCGAACAAGCCGAAAGGGAGAGGGCTTCACCTCTAAAACCCCTTTTAGAGAAAATTCTAGAGGGAAAAACCTTAGTTTGCTGTCAACTAGCCTACGATGCCTTCCAAAGTATTCTAGATATTGTGGGTGGCGAGGGCGAAAGAACTCGAGCCGAGGAGCTTATGAAGAGGGTAACCATTTTCCCGGATGTGGAAGGCATACCCGAGGAATTCTCCCACATACGATTCACTGCCAATGTGAACGAGCGAAGTCTAAAAATCTTTAGTTTTGGAATGGCCAGACAAATTTTCACCGTGACTTCGAATAAGGCTTTTGTTAGATCAGCTAAAATGCAGGTATGTTTATTAAAACTATTGTATTACAGATCTTATGTTTTTGAACTATGAAATATTACTTTGTTTTACAGGGTATCAATGTGCCCGTGTTTGTCCATGCTTCTGTTGCACTTACCGAGGGAAAACAGGCCACAGGAAGACCGCTTTAAAAGACAATAAATGTTATCCACTTACATATATTTTATGTGATTTTTTTGAAAAACCTATTTAAAATGTTTAAATTTTAATGTTCCCTGCTTCTGAGGCGCAATAAATATTAATTTATTATATAATATATATTTTTTTAAATTAATTTTTCCATTTTGAATTTGATTACTTTCTCCCTAATTTGATCGATAATTTCATTAATCGATAGTTTGGTAAGAGTTGCCAGATCGCATGCTGAAAAAATATGTAAACAAAAGAGAAATTTGGGGAAATTGCGACTTCTGTAAAAGAATAGACATTTTAATGCTTTAAAATAAGAAGACAGCATCTTTGGGTACAAATTTAATAATATTTGTGTGGCTAACATTTTGAAAAACCGAAGTGCAAAGACGTTAACTTAAAACATAACGAGAAAACAGCTCAAATCATGGACTGCGCACCACTAAACTTGGTAAGAACTCAAAGAAAGGTCAAAGTTTTCCGGTGAAAAACTTAATTTTTGTATTTAATTAAAGGCCCATTTCCACGAGCGAAGATCGGAGCGTTTTATACGCAATCATCGCTACGAGGAGGCCATAAAAGCGCTGGAAACGTCCTTAATTTACATGCAGGATGCCCAAAAACGAGTGGCTTTACCAAAATCCAAGGAAGTTCTGGACACTTTGACTCTAGATTTCCAGCGAAAATTACGCCAAATTGAGATGAGAAAAACGCAGCATGGCTTGAATAAGTTGAAGGACTTTGCTCCTCTGAAAGAAACCAGTCCCATGTTGCCTCTACGTCCGGAAAATGGAGCAAGTGGAGCCGCCGGATCGGCGCAATCTGTGGCCAAGGCTATTGACAAAACAGTCCAGGATTTCGATGCCAAGTTTACTTCATCCTTGGTGTCAAAGGTGCCAAACAATTTGGCCAATTCAGAGCCCCAAATGGAGACGCTAAGAAAGAGTGATCCTGCGAGGAACGACGATGAAAGAGATCCCTATGATTACCGGCTGACGGGCAGCGACGATCTGGATCTGCCCTCTCTGGCTCCTTTGGAATTGCCCTCCTTCGATTATAGCCTGTTCACCAGCTCATCGGCTCCTTCGCTGGCCAGTTTTGCCGGCATGGCTGAGAGCTTCCAGAAATAGGATAATGTCTATTAAAAGACACAGATTTTGCCTAATTTCTATGTAATTCGGCAGATCTCTATAATACAGTGCCCTTTAGTTCAAATAGTATTACCCCCTAAATAATGGCTTTATTTCTAAACTTACTTGATCTGAATGACTGCAATAAAATTATAATTAATATTTGATTTTGATTTGTGGTTCTATGTTATTTATTTGGCCATTAGGCCCTTTAGCAGATCATCCATGTCCGTTTCTGTTTCGACATTTTTAAGTAGAAGCAAAACCTGCGCCTCCATTTCGCAGAGAATTGAGGGTTTTTTGTACGTTATAATCAGGGTGTTGAACTGGTGATGAATGGAGAGACTTTCCTGCGAGGGCTTAACTCCGCAGCGATCCAAATCTGGAACCGGGATGACCTTGTAATACTTCTTGTTCGAGGTGCGCACGATAATGGCACGCTTTTCGGGATCGGCGGTCACATTGTAGATATCCAGGGAGTAGGGCATATTACGAATGCGCCACTCGATATTCTTCTTCGTAATCCTTTTGGTTAGAAGCGGAGCGGTGTTGCTTTCCCGTAGAGTGAAATCCCCGCCGGCAAGGGAATCCCCATCCTCACCAGATCCTTGGGTTTTGTTTCCCGACCAATTCAGTTGACGGGGCTCTTCGCCCAGTTCGATTTCCCACTCCGATTCGCCCATTATCTTGTTGCTTTTGGATTTCCAGGCCCTGCGTTGTACGATTCCGGTTTCCATGTTGTACTCCTCGGCCATTTGTCTTCCCTCCGGGAATTTGTAGAGCACCTTGCGAGCATTGCCACTAATCATAGAGTTCTTTTCCGCCGACTGCAGGTAGTTTAGCCAGTTCTGGTAGGACATCTCGGTGCTTGCGGGGGATTACGTATATATTTCTCTGGGTATCGAAATAACAACTAAATCAGGGGGAGAATTTGATCGATGGCGCAAAGTTGAAAATTTCTTGAAAGCACATTTCGTCTGCAACCTGGCAACCCAGCTGACAGTTTGTTTACATCGCAGACAGGGCTGCCAACGATGTTGAGGATTTTTAAATATTTGATTTCATGTTTATTTAAAAAAAAAATTGTACTTCACCAAACGCTTTCTCTGTAATGGCATTTAATTTTTTAAAATTATTTTTAGCTATTTTTATTAAATTGCATACCAAAAAATAAAGAATTAAGTGTGATAAATAGCTAACAATATACATACAAAAATGAAAAAAAAATATTTCTAAGCAATATAATATCCACAGTCACAAGTCCACAGTCGAACAAAAAATTAGTAATTAATCTAGTTAATTTTCTGCCTATTTTTTTCCAGTAAATTCTTTTGCGAGGGTTGGCAGCCCCGGTTGTACACAAAAAAACAGAGTTGACGTGGCCGCCGCGGTGACTACATAAAATATTCGCATATTTCATCACGGCATCTATTTAATTATTGCTATTTAAAGTAAGCAGCCGCACGTACTCCGGCCGTAGTTTATAAATAGAACCCCGCGGAATCCGTAGAATTACCATCTAATTTGGGAATATTTTTCCTTGCAGACAGCAGACGAGAAAAGAGTGAAAGTCGAGAAAACGAATTAATTAATACCATTTTAAAATGAGTTTGGTGTGGACTTTGATCGCTGGATTTCTCTACGCAGAAATAGCCTTTGTCCTTCTGCTGGTCCTGCCCATAGCGAGTCCTTACCGATGGAACCGGCTCTTCAAATCGAAGTTTCTGGCCATGTTGGGCCAACAGGCGCACATATATTTCATCCTGATCCTGGGAGTTCTGATCTTGTTCCTGCTGGAGTCCATCCGCGAGATGCGAAAGTATTCCAACTTCGAGCAGACCGGTGAGGTCCACTTGAATGTGGAGATGCAGCACAGCATGAAGTTGTTCCGGGCCCAGAGGAACTTTTACATCTGCGGCTTCTCCGTCTTCCTCGTCTTGGTCATCCGCAAGTTGGTGACCTTGGTCTCGGCGCAGGCGAATCTTTTGGCCCAAAGTGAAGCCTCCCTGAAACAGGCCCAGAGTGCCACGGCAGCCGCCAGATCTTTGATGGAGGACAAGAAGACCGAGAAGGCCAAGGAAGCCGGCGAAGATACCACTCTTATCGAGGTAAGTTTGCCCATTTCCCGCCTGCATCCCCACATCCCCAAGAATGGAATGTCTAGAGAGCTAACACCTAAGACTTTGGAGTTACATTGGCTACTACCAGCTGTAAAAATATGGCAATGCATATAAGGTGTGGTCAAAAAATGGGGTAATCAGTAGAGAGAAAGTATGAGATGCAATCAAATTTTTATATGAATATGAATACATCTTAAAGTTTCATATAAACATCATGGTTGACTTGCTTTGGCTTTAATTTGTATCTTATAATATGAAAAGATTCATATGAATATTTCGGTCTTCTATCAATTGTTTTTAAAAATATATTTTAATTTCCAATCAAAAATGTACCACAATTTGAAAGTTCTATTACAATAGCTTAATCGTAAACTAAAAGCAGCTTGGAGACTGCACAGTTTTCACAGTTATTTTATACTTTTAAAACTCACTTTCATGTGAAAATGGTCATTGGATTATGACTATTATTTTGACCGCAGCTGAAAGTTTTGAAACCACACCCAAACACAAAAGTTGGGCCATGAAAAAAAAAACCGTAGCCACTACTCGAAAGTTAAAATCTCTTGTTAACTCTTTAAACAGCTGTCAAGATTGCGGAGACGTGTGCAAGGACTCACCGCCCGAGTGTCCTAAGTATCCCCATCTACAGTCCCCACCTCATTACCATTCCCACACACACTCGAACCGAACAGAAACCCAATCGAAACTCAAACCGAACTCGTTTTTGCAGCTCAACAAGCTGCGCGAACGCGTCCAGTCGCTCACCTCCGATCTGAATCGCGAGAAGAAGGACAAGGAGGCGGTTAAGTCCCAGGCGGAGAGCCTGAACCGCGAGTACGACCGACTCACCGAGGAGTACAGCAAGCTGCAGAAGCAGATCACCATCGGCGGAGCCGGAAACAAGGATGATTAAGCCCTCGAAGAGCGATGTCCAACATTTAAATAACGATAAGACTTATGAACATGGCGGTGGGGCAGCGAAAGCAGGCACATTTAAAAAGATTATAAACGATTTGAAATCGATAAACGAGCACACACATCTTAATGTTAATCCTCATATACACACACCCACACCCATTGATAACGAATGGGGCTTATTGATAGTGGTCTCTCTTTGCGTTCGTTTTGCCTAAAATTCTTTGTATTTAATTCCTATGTGTTAAGTTTTGTTTGCCACAGTAACACACCCAACAAGCGTCGTGGCTATTAAAAGAACAACCATAAAGTACTCCTCCAGTTTTGGTAGATTCGATGATTCACAATTGGGCTATAGTCCACATCATGTCTGATTAGTATCGCTGGAATATTCATTTCAATGACGTCAAAGGGGAACCTGTTTGTCCAGCTGGCGATCAAAAGTCGATGAATTGCACATTTTTAGTTTAAAATTACAAAGAATGAGAATTGTAGCAGATAGTTATGATTGCCTGTTGCTTCAAAACTTTAATGCATAACAATTAGATAGAAGCTATCATTCCCACCAGAAACTTACAGAAAAGCTAGGAGCTTCTGATCTCACATAGTGCCACCATTTTGGAGGCATGTACAAACAGTCTCCTGGTTGAAGGAGCAACTCGTAGAACTTGACTTTTTCCAGCAGAGGATAGGAATCCAAATCCAAATGGGCGGCATCTATCTGAGAGGTATTACTCAAGAACTCGCTTTCATGAGGATATAGGTTATCTGTGTCTGAAGGAGCGGCTAATATAATCCGTTTGGCACCGAAAACTTGACACAGCAGATTATGTTTTGGATCGTAGTGCATGGGTGAAATGGTTCCCGCTGGTCCCAGCCAGGCTTTTATGTCCACAGCCTCCGGAGGATTCTCTTTACTTATAGAACAGTAATCTGGGATGGAAATATCCTTTTTTAAAGCAGGTATCTGGGAGAAAAGTTCGTGCTGCGCGAGGTACTCAATCTCCTGGTTGGTTTTATTTGTATCCCCTCCAAATTGCCTGCTCAGGAAATCGCGAATCTTCACCAGCTGCTGCGACCACTCATCGCTGGCATAGTTGGACCCTATTTCTATGGGCACCGTACGATTCCCCGCCACTTGGAGAAGGTAATTAAGATTCATCCATTTATCCAGAGCAGGCCAATGTTGGATAGTGTTTAAAAGCAGTGTGGGTTGTCCTGCTTGAAAGCACTTTGTCTGAAATTCCTCTAAACTGGGAGCTTCTAGTTGGGGTATATCACAGGTACAGGATATTCGGGTTAAGGGTTCCAAAATGGGCAGAGTTACGGAATCTCTATCTCCTCCCTTATCCAGATAATCCATTAAGGCCGCTTTTAGTTCAGTCCAATCATCCATGCATCCCAAGAGCTGTGCCTCATCCAGGATCCCACTGCATAGCTCTTTTTGAGCAGGACTCGTGCTCTCTAGGAGTAGGAAAAAAATCTAAGAAATTCTGTTTTTAGTTGGAATAATTCTTGTTATATAAATCGTACCTTGAAATAACAAGCCAAGGCATATATCTTCCTTGTAATCAAAGGAACTTGGCTAAAATGTCCTGTGTGAATGCGTTCCCAATTTCTGTCCACCAGGGCACATACAAGGTATCTGGATTCCTCTGCCTGGGAATCTCCTCTAGATTGCAGGTTTTCCATGTGATCAGTGGCTCTTTTGAGTATATAGCGTGCCTCGACTTCATCCTGGATCACATTTTCTATATCCTTCCAACGGGGAAGCAGTTTCGTCAGCAACAAAAACTCAGATTCCATGTAATTTTAAAGAAGTCTTATTTGTTTACTGCTTTGTTTACATCGCCGTTGAGTTGCCAGATCTATTTAATTACTTTTATATCGATAAGAATTTAATAAAGCTTAATCGATGTTTAACGCTTTTTTAAAAATATATTTATTTCATGCAAGGAATATATTTAGGCGGAATAAAATGGTATTTTTTCATAATTTCTCTATGTCTTAATCTATAAATAAAATTATTATGCTTTTTTATAATATATATTTTATTACTTATAGTTATGTTGTTTTAAACGCACACTAGTAAATTCGCTGCTTATCTCTGATAATGATTGAATAATAGTTGATATTTCAAGTGAGATGGTGTGGGTTAGGTATAGATAATACATATCTATAAATCTTGTTTATCAATTTTAAAAATTACATGTTTACTAATAGCGTTATCAGTTTTGTAAGCGACCTTGATTGGCCTTTTTGTTTTATGATAATACAAATTTGTATGCTTTTAATAAAATGCAATATGATGTTAAGTAGGTTTATTTTTGTGAATTCATGACATTATTTAAACAAAAATGCAACAGTAAGTATTTATTTCATCGCTTTGATAAGAAGTTATCTTAAGTATTCTTAATTGATTTATTTCCTATAAATTAAATCCTCAAACAGAGGAGGTAAAGGAGGTTTTTAAAGCTAGTTATTTTAAATCAACATCGGCTGTTAAATTTGAATATTGAATTGAATTCGAAGTAGAAGTAGATAATAACGAGATTCAGAGGGCTTTGAATTAGTGGCTGAGAGCAACTCGTCGAGACTGGTTCTGCGACAGGTGACGGAATAAAATAAAAGCAGAATCAATTGTTTGTGTTCTCGCGTTGATAAACAACCTGCGCATATGTACAAGTAAAGCAAAATATTGTTCAAATAATCGGAAACAATCAGGTGTGCCTTTTTTAGTAATACGTGTTTGTTTTTACTAAGCAATCAAACGCCCGTGCTTTCTATGTAAAAATTTGACATTATATATTCCCTTTTTTTAATTTAAATGTTTTTAAGATTAATAAAATGTGCCAAATTGTACGTGCAAAACAAAGTTGTTTATCAAAAAACACAATTGATGGTAAATGTTTTGGGTTGATAAGGCGAAATCATCAGTCGATCGGTTAACAAACCAATAAATAAATTGGAACATAAAAAGTTTATGTGTCATGTGTAGTATAGGCTACTAAGTTATTGTTGAAAGCAAGAGTTAAATAATATAAGTTTGCGACAAATCAATTGAAATCCAAATAAGTCAGAGAATTAAATGAGTGTATTTGTCAGTAGCCAACTAAAATAAACCCCAATTAAGTGAATGAAGTAATCTAGTGAGAACAAAATAAAGTTGGGCTTTTATAAACGTTCAAAATCATATTGAAATAAAGTCAATATATCCAGTAAAATCAGTATAATGATCAGTAATGATAAATAGCCTGCCCATATTTACAAGCAGCCGAACCCTACTGAACTCATAAGTAATAGTAATCTAGTGAGATCTTTACAAACCGGTACTTGTGCTAATTTAAACGATTTCTGGGTCCGCTGGGCGTTCGCATATCAGGTTGCTTATCAGTTTGAATCCGACGCTCGACGACTTCGCACGGTTTTGGTTTGGGTTTCGTTTTCGTTTTGGGATTCGGTTTTTTGCATTGAGTCAATAACATTTATTTGACCGCCAAGGTGATTAGAGGCGTCTGTGAGGGAGGCAGCGACTTGGAAATGTCATCCGGACCGTACTTTGTGGGCGTGGATGTGGGAACGGGCAGTGCGAGGGCGGCGCTGGTGGCCTCCGATGGGCGTGTCCTGGAGCAGGCGGTGCAGGCCATCAAAACCTGGAACCCGGAGCCGGACTACTACAACCAATCCTCCGACAATATCTGGCAATCCATCTGCCAGGTGGTGAAGGTAAGACTCCAGCACTCAGAAAATCATTTCAAGATCGATCTTAGTAGTTTTTAATAAGACTAATCACTAGATCTCAAAACAGTATTTAAAATATAATTAAAAATAAATGTTAACAAAATTTTAAGTAGAATCGAGGATTTCAAAAAGAAGAATCAACATTGAAAATACATTTTTTTAAGATAATACAAATTTATAATGATTTAATTAAATAAAATATAAAGATTGTATTAGTAAAATCTACCGAATAATTCAGAAAAGAGTATCAAAAAAATATAACAAATATAATAGATAAGTAATTTTGGACAATTAGAAATCATTATAAATAATAATCTATAGACAGACATCAACATAAAAATGATCTTATAATTTTTTTCTGTGCGATAACCTCTGTCGTTCGGCGACGTTTCTCGCGGAGATTAGATTAACCCAATTGCTGGTTTTACAGAAAGTCATTGCCGGCGTCGATAAGTCAGAAGTCAAGGGCATTGGCTTCGATGCCACTTGCTCCTTGGTGGTTCTGGGTCCCCAGGGATCGCCGCTGACTGTGAGCAAGTCCGGTGAGGCGGAGCAGAACGTAATCCTTTGGATGGACCATCGAGCGGAGCAGGAGACGCAGGAGATAAATGCCTTCAAGAATCCCCTACTGAAGTATGTGGGCGGCCAGGTTTCCCTGGAGATGGAGGTGCCCAAATTGCTCTGGCTGAAGAGGAATCTTTCCAAGACCTTTGCCAATATATGGAGGGTCTTTGATCTGCCCGACTTTTTGACCTGGCGAGCCACTGGTGTGGATACCCGGTCGCTTTGCTCCGTGGTTTGCAAGTGGAACTACGATGCAGCGAATGGGAGCTGGAACAAGGAGTTCCTCGAGCAGGCGGACCTGGAGGAGCTGATCCAGAATAACTTTGAGAAACTGGGCAGTGATGTCCAGCCGCCGGGCAGAAAAGTGGGCAAAGGACTCACCGCAAAAGCTGCCGGGGAACTGGGCTTGTCCATAAGCACTGTTGTCAGCACTTCCTTGATAGATGCCCATGCCGGCGCCTTGGGAATGTTTGGCTGCCGTTCTAAGGATTCCAAGGGAGACGACGATGTCCAGGGTAAAATGGCACTGATTGCCGGCACATCCACCTGCCACATGAGCATCACCAGAAAGGCCTGTTTTGCCCAGGGCGTTTGGGGCCCCTACCAGGATGCCATTATACCGGGATATTTCCTCAACGAAGGTGGTCAGAGTATTGCAGGCCATCTCCTGGATCACGTCCTCAAAGTCCCATGAATCCTACGCTGAACTGAAATCGAAACTGGGCGAGGATAAGTTCATCTATCAGCATCTCAATAAGTTACTGCCGGAATTGGCAGCTGCCCGGGGATTCGATCAACTGAGCTGTCTCACCCAGGATGTCCATGTCTGGCCGGATTTGCATGGCAATCGCTCGCCCATCGCCGATCCCACGCTGCGAGGAGTGGTAAGATGATTACTCCTTACTTATTTGGTTCATCAGCTAACCCAGAAATCATTTCTTTAAGATCACTGGCTTGGACATGACGCGTGGAACTGAATCTCTGGCCATTAAGTACTTGGCTTTCGTACAAGCTCTGGCTGTAAGTTAAAGTCTTTTATACAAAACTAGACCTATATCTAGAATTACATAGAGTTCTTTTTTTTTGTTTGATGATATTAACAAGCACATTGTTTAACCTACAATTATTTATAGGTCTTCTGTTATAAATATAGATTCTCACATTAAAAATTAAAGCAAACAAATTATAAACGCGAACGCTTAAGCTCATTTGCTTTTCTTAGTGATTTTTCTTTTACACTTGTGTACATAAACAATCGTTGATTTTTATTCGTTTTTAGTATGGCACCCGTCACATTATCGATAACCTGTATCAGTACGGCAGAGCACCCTTCCAAACGCTCCTTTTCTGCGGTGGACTGGCCAAGAATCCTTTGTACGTGCAATGCCATGCGGATATTTGCAATCTGCCCGGCTTGATTCCAGACGAACAGGAAATGGTGCTGGTGGGAGCTGCTGCTCTGGGAGCGGCTGCATCGGGACATTTTGACAGCTTGGAGGTGGGCTTAAGATATAATCCTAACATCTAACTGGTTGATAACCCACTTTTTGTGCCTTTAGAGCGCCTCGAAAGCCATGGGTGGCACTGGCCAACTGGTGAAGCCAAACCCGGAAACCTTGGAGTTCCACAACCGCAAATACAAGGTGTTCCTACAGCTGCTGGAGAACCAACGCCAATACAGGAGCATTATGCAGGGAGACACAAAATAACTTAAACTGTTCGTTGTCAAGACTTTAAATAATTTTAAAATAAATGCCGCACATGAGCATTGTAACAAAAAATGGGTTGGCGCACACAGGTACAAGGTGATCTTGTTGGCATTGGGCTGTTTTCTAGGCGATGAAGGCGGCCGCCTTGGAGACGATATTACCACGACACACGGGGCAGGTGATAGAGATTTTCTGGGCGCAGTCCTCGCAGAGACAGACATGACCACACGGCAGTAGGATGATCTGAAAGGAAATAAGTGGTTATAAGCTATTAAAACGATATAGCAGTGGTCTTAAATTTATTTTTTTACAAATTTTTTTATGGTCTGGAAATTGTCCAAGCTAATCAACAATGTGGAAATTTTTGTATTATCTTGAACATTAAAAACGATACTTCACTAGAAGGCATTTACGATACCTGATTAATAAACTTATCAAAAACTGATTAAACCTTATATTTCTGTCACTAAACTATAATGATAAAATTTCAAATTATTCAATCTAAATCACTCGCATTCAATAAAAAGGATTTTTATCTTAAATTTAAAGGCTACAAATAAATACATACATTTGAGGTATATAATTTAGCTTCGATAAAATTTTTATAAAATTATACTATTAAGTCAAATAATATCGAATCTAGGCTATAATTTTGTTACATAACCTGTCTTTACAATTATTTTTAATTTTCATAAAATTTACTGAAAAGTTGATTGATTTCTGAATTTTGTAATGATATTTCATGGAATCCGTAAATTCATAAAGGAAGTAGTTAATCTAATTACAATCACCTCTTTCGGATTGGTGGAGCAGACCACGCATAGCTGATCCTGAGACAAAGTGTGGGGTCGACTCCTCGCCCGTCGTTCCCTTCGCTCAGTCTCCAGGCGATTGCGTATTTTGGCCTCTTCCCGCTCCTGTTTCCTCCTCCGATAGATCTTCTTGGCAATGAAACCAATCAGGACAACGGAAATGGTGCTACAAACCACCAGCTTCAGTCTGTAAAGGAGTTTTGGTTAGAAACTGTATTCCGCAAAGAAGTATTACCCACATTGAGGCTGCCTTGGCATCTTCGAACCGCTTGATGAGCGTGGATTTGGTGGCGGTGGTCAGGAAGAGAGGTCCCTCCTGCGAGGGCTGCATCCTCAGGGTGTTACCATCCAATTCCAGCTCCCCAATGGCGGTAAGGAAGCTTCCCTCCCGGAGAACCTCCTCCGTGGTTTGCAAGCCCCTCTGGCGAACGCCAGAGAAGAAGCCAAAAACGTGGTCGAAAAGGGACAGACTGGAGGGCTCATAGTTATCATAGACCATGTCCACATCCAACACGGCTGCACTCAGGGCATCCACAATCTCCACTCCATGCTGTTGATTGCGCAACTCGAAGGGCATCTCATTGGCGGATTCGTGGAGCAGTTTGTGGTGCTCCGTCCAGAAGCCGGCGAATCCCCGCGTGATTCTGTGCTCGTGGAGCTTGACAATCTGGAGGACCCCACTGACACTGGGCACCAGGGAGCTCCTCAGGGGAACTCCAATGGGGGTTACTGTTCCCCGGATCACCGCATAGGGTATCTTCTTGTCGTGCTGCTGCTCCACCACCGATTTCAGCTGCCCATCGATGTTATATTGCGGCGCGGTCTGCAAAATAAGCCATTGGATAAGTGGGCACACACCACATATCAAGTATACGCACCTTTAGCACTTGGGCGGTGCGTTTGTAGGTCACATACTCCCGCGCGCATAGACCCAATATTAGCAAATCCACGCCCAGTGCAATTGATTCGTGTAAAAATTCCATATTATGATTTGTTATTATTTTTTTTTTTCACCTACAGAACATATGTTGTTTTAGTGTTGCTGTGTTTTCATTTGCGCTACTTGGAAGTGATAACGCGTTCCCAACACTGTTTTGCCGACCGTTATTTGGGGAACTAGTTCATATCATTTTGAAATATTTACATGATATTAATCCTGTATCGAAAAATGGAATTTGAAATCCCAAGAAGTTTTATTTTATGTGAGAAATAAAATTAAATTGCAGAAGACTACTTTCTTAATAAATTTATATTTCAAATCTAGTTATTTACTATAAATATACATTATTTATATATATTAGTTTAACAAAAATTCTGCAGTTTAAAATAAAAATATGAACGCCTATCTACCATATTTATTTATTTTTTCAAATAAATTACACTCACTTGTACAACATTTTAAATGATTTTGTACTGAAGGCCGCACATGAGCATTAAGATATTAAGTAAAATCAGGTTCAAGGTGATCTTGTTAATACTCTGCTGATTTCTAGACGATGAAAGCAGCTGCTTTGGATACAATTTTACCACGACACACGGGACAGGTATTGCTGATTTTCTGGGAGCAATCCTCGCAAAGGCAGACATGACCACATGGCAGTAGGATGATCTAATGGAAAGAAAAATTTGTATCTATTGAATAAACTACCAAGGCAATTATTAAAATCAGTCTTCTGAGTTATCATTTGATCACGATTCGGTAAGTTTACAAAAAGATCTGAAACCTACTTCTTTGGGATTGGAGGAGCACACTACGCATAGCTGATCCTGGCTCAAAATGACAGGACGATCCATTCTGCGTTCCGTTTCCAGGCGATTGTGTATCTCGGCCTCCTCGATCTTCTTGTTGCGCCTCTTGTATATCTTCCTTACAACATAAGCAATCAGGATGACGGAGATGGTACTGCACACCAATAGCTTGAGACTGGAAAGAATTAGTGTACAGTAAATACATATACAGAACATACTCAAGCCACCCACATATTCTCTCTATTGGCTTCCTCTAATCGTTTAATAATCATGAATTTCGTGGCTGTTGTTAGAAGAAGAGGTCCTTTCTGCGAAGGCTGCATTCGTAGGGTATTGCCATTCAATTCCAGTTCTCCAATTGCGGTGAGCAGTCTTCCGTCCTTCAAAAGATCCTCAGTGGTTGGGAATCCCCTCTCAAGAGATCCGGAGAAAAACCCACATATGTAATCAAAAATAGAAAGAGTGGAACGTTCGTAGTTATCATAGACCATGTCCACATCCAAAAAAGACGTTTTCATGGCATCCACAATTTCCACTCCGTTTTGTTGATTTCGCAATTCAAAGGGCATTTCGTTTGGGGATTCATGTATCAAATTGTGGTTTTCCCTCCATAATCCAGCGATTCCCCGGATAATCCTGTGCTCATGCAGCTTAACTATTTGAAGAACTCCATTTAAAGAACCCTGGAGTGGATCTCCAATGGGGGTTACTGTTCCCCGAATTACCGCATATGGTACCTTCTTTCCAGGTTGCTTCTCCACCACCGATTTTAGCTGCCCATCGATGTTATACTGTGGTGCTGCCTGTTGAACACAGCATTGTAATGTATTTAATACAAAATATTAAGTATACGCACCTTTAGCACCCGGAATGTTCGTTTGCAGTTCACATATTCGCGGACACAAAATCCTAGTAATACTAGATCTATTCCAACTGCAACACAGTCATTAAACCACTCCATGTTTTGATTTTTATTCTTTTGCGGTAATAATGCTTTTTCAATTTTGTAATAATTTTGACGCCCATTTAATGGGTTACTGGGTTATCTGTAAAGATATCCCAACATATATGGTTATAAAATACAAAGTCAATGCAATTTTCTAATGTTTTTATTTTAATTTTAATCACTGTTTTGTATTTAAAACAAAGTCATTTATTAGGTATTATTTTAAAAAGCTAAGAGAAATTGTGCATATTTCATGGCTTGCCAATTATATTGTCGATGGTGAATAGTGTAGTCTTTGATCGGTTGTTTGCCACTGTGGATGAGTTGGTTGAAGAAGTAGCCACCAGATCCTGGATGCCTCGAAAAGAATCCTTGATGATTGGCGCACCCGAGGAATTGGTTTCCCGACGACTAAGTGGCGGAGTAAAGGCACTCGGTGAATGTAGATCCTCGTGCAGGGAACTACTATCCATGGGATTCTGGGCTGTTCTACTGGAACTGGAGGAGGCATCCACATCATCTGGGGACTCTCTGATCTCGGAGAGCGATGGACTTGGTAAGGCTCGAATCCCTCTGGCTTCATTGTTAAACAGACCATTAAATCCTAGAGATACGGACAAATACTGCCTGTGCAGATCGGTAATCCTATCCGAGTAATTGGGTCTCTCGTTGCAGAAGATGTCGAAATCATTGGTCGGTTCGCTGGGTAAACGCATCTCAGCGGTAGTATTGCCGCAATCATTGGAATCCTAAAAGGAAATATATTTTATAAAAATATATATACCTATTTTATAGTGCTTAATAGTCTCATTACCTTTCCGGAATCCCTTTCGTAGCGACTTGAGTTGGCGCAGTGTCGTTGTCGGCGGGTCCTTCGCCGTCGGTAGTTTCCCTGCTCGAACATATCCGATGCCGAGGAGTCCAGCATCCAGTAGCTTCCCTTGCCAGCACTATCGTTATCCTCGATCGTGTTCTTATCCCGGGGGACCTTCACGAAGCAATCATTCAGGGACAAATTGTGCCGAATTGAGTTCTGCCAGCCTTGTTTGTTCTCCCTATAATATGGGAATCTAAAAAAGAAAAGTTTTTATAGTTCTCTCAATATAATAATCTTAAAAAATCTTAAAAAAATATATATATTTATAGTGGGTTAGGCTATAAATGTAATCAATATTTTTGGAGATTTTTAATACAAGTAAACTAAATGGCGATGTAAAGATAAAAGATATTATATTTACATCGCCATTTAGTTTATTTCAACCAAACAAATTTTAAAACCATACAAATAAAAATGTGTTTGTTAACCAATCGAAAAAAATTAAACGGATATGGTGGGTAAATATAAGGAACAATACTTTAATTAGCTATTTTATAGTTATACCAATGAGTCCGTAAATAAATATTATATCTTGTAAATATTTACTTTTTTAAATAAAATAAAAATAGAAACCTTAGAATTTAACACATTATTTTGTATATACATAACAATTAAAAACATTTTTTGTATTGTTACACATCATATTAGCCAATGTCTATATTTTCCATTTAGTTTGTTTAAACAAAACGATTTGGAAAAGCAATAAAAATAATATTTGTTTATGTTGATAAAGAAATCGGAAAAAATTTAGTTTATAAACACATGAAGTCATTGTTCTCTTTCTTGTATTTTCAATTATTAGCGCTTCATTTTAAATATTTGCCCGCCATTTTCAAGAAAATGTGTTTATATAGGGAAAGAATACACAGAAGAATGTATAACATATAAGAAGGTATATCTATATCAAGATATACATAATTTTAAAATATGACCACTTAAAAGCAATGGAACCATTTTTTAATGGAACAAATATATGATCAAGTAATCCTTGTGATATTTATATATTTTACACATTTAAAGAAATAAATTTATGTTCAATATTTCAATGACTTAATCCCAGTTTTGGCAAATGTTGCGACAACTGTTTTGAAATGCGTATTGGGATAAAATCTTTTTCAGTTAAAATAGATATTCGGAATGCTGCGATTGTTTATTTTGGCATTTGATTTAGTCAAGACTGCCATCTAAATTAACTTGATTTTCGTCATGGGGACTACGAAAATCCAAAACATTGAAGTATAGATTTTTGAGAAATTAACAAAGACCAAAAACCAAACATCTTAAAAAACAAATAATAAGTAATTATCTATTACTTAGATTTTTAAACATTAAAATGAAGATTGATATAAGCTTACTTGTCCATTATAAACTTGTAGATTCCACTTAGAGTCAATCGCTGGCTGGGAGCACTACTTATTGCCATAGCGATAAGAGCAATGTAGGAAAACGGAGGCTTTTCCGGTCTATGGGAGTTATGCAGAAAGGATATGGGCAAACCCCAGATATTGTTGTGCAGGGCCAGGAAGTTATCAATTCCCTGGTAATAAAATGCTGGAGAAAATGATCCGCACATCAGACTCTCCATTCCGACGGCATTTGGACCCAATGGATTGGGGGATACTTGGGCTCTCAGGTATTCGGGATTTGAGAGCAGGGAATTAACAAGCTCCTCATTATCCGGCAGTCCCGATCCATTGGCATAGCAAGATGGTAACATTTTGGTATAGTATTCCTTTGTATTTTATATCGGATTGTATATTTAAGGATTTATTTATTTCCAAATATTTTATCTATGTTTCACTCCACTGCACTTAATTTTGCTTTGCTTTCACTGGATCCAAGTTTCTCGGAAAGATATAACATCCGAAGTTATGGATGGTACGTGCGCGACTATTTGACTTTTCGTTGCGTCAGCCAAGAAGTCCGATCGACTAATGAATGGACTCGGATACGCAGATCACTTGTAATGCCTCATCCAGTACTCGTGTGCATGTGTTCTTGGGGAGAGCAGCGTATTGGTCTATAAATACAGAGGTATACAAACACCCTCAACAAAAGATCCACACATGTTTGACTTCTCAGAGAGAGAAACATTTTTTTCTTGGGAAAACATATATCTTAGATATATATTTTAAAAACCCCTCCATGAAGCTTTGTATTCTTTTGAGGAAATGTAACTATTTTCCTTTAATATAATGATGATTCCAATTTATTTTGATTTGTTTATTTGTCTTATTCAAGTTTACGTATTAAATTATTAAAATATTTACTAATGACATTATCTCTAATTAAATATCCTAGATAATTATATTACTTTTCCAGTTATCCCCGAAATATAAACGATATTTTTGAGGGGGCGTTGCTTACAAATATATTCTCCACTCTTTCCATGTTTATTTATGTCCATATGCTCAGAGCGATGTTCGATTTTCATTTGCCTGTGTTTTTCAAAATGGGCGGAGCCAAGATCTCTTTTGGATGTATGTGTGAATGCTTGAGAGTGCCCAATGTGTTTTGAATAATATGTAAATTTGATTTTTCAACAAATGAAAATCGAGCAAAGTTTACACATGAATTACAGGCATTTGAAACGAAATTTTGTAGCTCATCTTATAAATTTTAAAAGTTTTTTATACAACTAAAACATTGGGAAACCGTGAAAAATTGTTGCCGTAATATAACATATAATAAAATAAAATTACTCGCATAAGTTTGTTTTAAATTATTTTTTATACACCTTACTGTATCAAATCATGATATATACAATAGAAGATTATATTAAAAACATAATAATTCTTCTTTTCTCATTAAGGACACCATATATTTATTTATTTCTGCAAAAACTTTCTGCTACTCAGCATTGAATTTTCAAAAGAATTCAAAAATTTTAAGCATCCTAAATAAAAGCTAATAAAAAGTTAAGATAACTCTTCTGTTCAATTGGTTTGTAAACATTATTAACGTAAAAGAGTTCCAAGAAACACTTCGCTTAAATATTGTGCCGGATAACAGCTGCCAAAGATAATGCCAGAAGGTTTATCTTCTTGCAGTTCCTTGACATTGCTATCTCGTAGAATTTAACTTCCGATTTTTACGACTTTTCCGAGCGAAAGAAAGCAAGAGTAAACGGTGCAGTCAAGTACGCAATTTTCTCAAAGCAACCAAAGTCTTGGTCTATATCTTAAAAGGTCGTAAAATAATTGTGTATACATTTCAAACAGGACTACGATCGATTTTTACGATCGTTCCGTTCTCAAGTAGAAAGCAGAGATCATTTGAAAGAAATAAAAACATTGAACGCAAATCGAAAATCGAAAATACCAAATACCGAAGCAATTGAAGTTGAGATATTCACATGTGTGGAAGAAGATGCCACAAAGGATTCTTCACGCTCTCTCCCGATTTATTCAAATTTTACGATCGCTTACCGCTGGTAAAAATGGGTCATAAAACAATGGGTTATCCTCCGGCCTCTGATCCTCTGATTTCTCTGATGGCCACACATTCTGGAGATGTCGCTGCTTATTTTTAGACCTATGCTGGGAATAGTATTGGAAACAAATATTGTGTTTTTTATGGCTCAGCCTGGTTTGGTTTTGGTCTAGAACTCAATACTTATGTTTTTCGGTCTGAAACAATGTTTTCCTTTGGGTTCCCTATTCTTTTTGACGTATCTGTCGCACTAAGCCATAAAACGCCTCGGATCTTGTTTGTTTAGTTGCCGCTCCCGACCGCAACTTAATCGCCGTCTGTAATTGCATAGTTATTGTTTAGTGCGTGACTACCGATGTTGTTGTTCCCGTTGTCATCGCTTGATTTATGCTCTGAGTTCCCTGTTTTCATCCAAGACACACATGAATAAAAATGCAGTAGAACTTCGATACTTCAAACTAAGTTTTCCCTTTTAGTTTAGTTCAGGAGCATTTGTTCGACATATTTTTGTTTTATATTAAAGTTTTAAATCATATTAAAAGTTTTCCTTTTAAGAAGATTTTATAATTTACAATTTAAACTAGTGCATTATATTTATTTTGAATATTATTTTTATAATAAATTAAGTATCTCTGTTTTATTTTTATCTTAAGATGTAGGTACAATAAAGTGTTTTAATTTGCCATTCGAGTTTTGCATTTGTAATGAAGCACAGTTAACATTTTTTAAGTGAGTTTTAGGCTACTCAAGTACAGAAGTACAGGCTACTTCTTAATCTCTTTTAGAAAGTTTCACTGTATCAACTTCGAGTTAAGGCACACTTGAAGAAATATGCACTGTGGCTTTCAGTCGTCACCTTGTCAAGTTTTGATTTAATCACTCGACACTCGGTGTTCCAGAGATCAAAGACAACAAATCATCGATCAGCGGGATTTGTGGCTGTGCTCAACGAGCGGTGATTTGTCAAAATTCGATGGGGTGTACATGCCCCATGAGTTGCCCGTTTATCGGGGGGCATTAACAACTAGTGGGGCCTATTTATAGGCGCCGTAAAATGCAGCACGGACTATTATGAGACGAGGGTGCCGTGTTTGACAACAAATAGCGAGGACCGCAGAGCAGCTCCCTTCGTTCCACATCATTGACAGCAAATTATCCACATTACCTGAATTGTCAGGACCGCTCGGTGCCCATTAGCCATTACGGCGGTGTGAACGTGACCTTTGCCGGCCATTAAATGGCACACTCAGCGTCCCGGAATCGGAAATTTATGCGATTCTTGACACTAGTTGCTCCGGGTGCTCCATCCTCCATCCTCCATCCAACATCCAACATCCAACATCCAGCATCCTCGATGATAATGATGACTTTCGGAACGCCAAGAAGATTTCTGAAATGAAATGCGTGAGCAATAAACTGGTTGTTGACCTGTGACGACGGGAGTTTCCCTCGGTTTTCCCCGTCTTATTGGTTGGTAACAGGTGTTGGACACTCGAGTAATCGCCGCCATTTCGAATCAGCTCCTTGGCCAAAAGGGTTGGTGTTAATTAATGGCGGGTTTGGAGTCGATAGCGGTTAGCGAAAACCATAATTTATTTAGCCATTGAGTTTGCTGGCAACTGCAATTGATTTGTGTTGCGGAAACTTGTGTTGCTTCTATCGTTTTTGTTTTGGCCAAAGGAGTCAAAGGTAATTGCCTGACTTGTCCTTTGAAATCATTGAATAAATAAGCTAGTTTTTAAAAAATAATGATTTTGTTAATACAAATTAATACCTGATGTTTTATTTGACAGAGTTTCACTAAATATGAAAATTCCATTTAGTCTTTAATTATTTCTGTAATTTGTTTTTAATTAATTTCTTTTCCCCAACATCAAAACATATTACTTTTATTTATTTATATTATTCACTTTATGCAATTGTATACCTTTTTTTTTGTTCTTTATATTTATGGATATGGTTTCTATGTTTCTGAGTAAATCTTTTAGATGCATATACCTTTGGTGAAATATCTAAATTTTATAGACTTATTCTAAAACCAAATCTTGAATAAGATACAGAGTACAAAGTTTTAAGCTTTTAAAGCGTAGCTGCCTTTAATTCACTTAAAACTTGAATCATTCGCTGCGTTTTCCCTCTGACAGCACCTCATTTGCACTTGAAAAACCTATAAATTGAGTGATAACTTCGCCTTTCCCGCTATTTGGCATCTTCAAAAAGAGCAATCTATACACAAATCGGAATCGAGTGGCCCCCAAACCACGGGATTCTCATGGATTATTATTTCGTATTACTCATATTGATTTCCAGCCGCAAGAAAAGTTTTTCACGGTGGGAAGGGGGGGGGGGTGGAGGGCGAAAAAGGAGCTGAGCTGGGCGGATGTGTTCGGAAAAACATAAACCAAGCACTCACATTGATTGCTTTCCCCGGCCGAAATGAATCAAGTGGAAATGTGAATGAATTTCGCACGTTTTAAGTGCCAAATTATCGGCTACTCAACCGGCCAACGAAAAGGAATATCAAACAGTTTTGCTGCACAGGTTTAAAAACAATAAACTTTCAACAGCAACAGCAACAGCAGCAATGGATGTTTGTTTATTTGTTTAAATTTAGAATATCGACCACATTAAAATAGCAACAATAGCTTCGAAAAGCCTCTCAAGTGGCCGGCGGGTAATTAAAAGAGATTTCCAAGATGTATTACGGGCGAAAGCCCCATTTTCCCCGGTATTTTCAGTGTTTTCGGGTTCCCAGTGTTGTTATGATATTTCGTTGGGGTTGACCCCGCGGGTAATTTGCACTTCAAAGCGGGCCCCATGCAATCTGTTTATGCCATCAAGTGGGCCAGCTGGTGGCCCCCAAAAGATCTATGGCATTTATGAGTAAGTGCGGGCTGGGGATTCCTCGAGTTCGAGTGCCATGTGCTAATGAGCCGGCGATTCCCCAGATTCCGCGCCCCTTCCCATAATCACCTCACATTATCCCGGGCGTTAAGTGAAATAACCTGTGGCAAGTCTGTCTACGCACCTGACACGATGCCAATGGGCATCCGTTCCTATTCCGATTCCGATGCCGACTCATATTCTGATTTGGGGGCCATCATCGATCCTTGTCGCCGGCATAAAGCAGCTGTCAAATCTCCAGTTGACAGCCACTTTCATTTCGATGCATTATTAAAATACAGGCACTGGCAACATCCTGACAACTCCCCAAGGATCTGCACTGCACGAAAACGAACTGGTACAGGTTTGGGTTTTCTATTTAAGGATTCAATATCCATTTAGTTCTGGTAACCGAATAATTTGTATGTTCAGCTTATTGCGTTTTTTAAATTTGTTCATTTGTTTTATTATGCAAACTTTAAACAAATAAAAACGGATTTTTACTTCATTGACCACTCCCCAGAGAACTGCACTGCCAGAAAATGCAATCCGATTGTAGATTTTTTTTTTTAACAATTTAAATGTTACTTTTATTATTTA